ACGACAGAAAAAATACTGCATGTCACATTTTTTCCGGTCCGGAAACGCACGAACGTGCATGAAACGCAACAAAACGGAACGGAAATGCAGCGCAATGCAGCTAAGGAAAAAAAAATGGTATTCTTGCTCCACATATTATGATGTTATCAACGATAGACAGACAGGTTGGGGTAGAGGTAACGACATGAACTGCAAACATTTGGAACATGCCCATTAACTTGCCATGGACATACGAGTAAAGGAAAAAAATGTATCCGGGTGACCTCGCAAATCCTCATACAAACTCCAGAACTGACCCTTGGAGTCCCGGAGCCTCAAGATTGGGTGTACCCAATTACGACGTCTCCTGCGGGCTCGTTCTGTGCAGATTGCTGTAGCCAGCACCATCAACATGCCTGCAAACATGTGATGCATGTCTGATCACCAGCTTTACATACACAAAGGGAAGTAGATGTTCCGAGAGGGCGGAAGTGACCTCAGAGGCTGAATCTGCATACTGACAGCCCCTTGGCTTAAAAAAAATGAACTGTCAGCATCCGGACCGAAAACGCATCAAAAACTCGTCAATAACGCACTGCATCAGCAGCTCCACGTCTGCTGATCAGGACCTGATCAGGACCTGATCTCATGTGAACAGGCCCTAAAGGTGGACAGAGTAGGAAATAAGTGGACAGATCGGGGTAGGGAGTTCCAGAAGATGGGAGACATTCTGGAGAACTCCTGGAGGCGAGGATGGGAGGAGGTGACGAGAGAGCTAAAGAGCAGAAAGTCTTGAAAGGAGCACAGAGGACTGTTTTGGTGATATTTTGAGATGAGGTTGGCACAGGTTGTACCTGGGGGCACAGTTATGGATGGCTTTGTATGATGTCGTTAGTATTTTTAATTTTATTCATTGGGCAAGTGTGAGCAAGTGGAGGGATTGGCAGAGTGGGGCAGCAGACGCTGAAAAGTTGGAAGGTGGATGAGTCTGACAGCAGCATTCCTGATAGACTTAAGGGGGGATAGCCTGTTTAGTGGTAGGCCAACAAGGAGGGAGTTACAGTAGTCGAGGTGAGATATTACAAGGGAGTATGCCTGTGAAGGTTCTCATTCATCCAGGTCGTGGTATAGCTGTAAAAAATAACTCAAGGCAACTGGACTTGCTGTACTTTTCTTGAAGACGTTTCACTGGTCATCCAATCAGCTTTCTCAATTCAGAATGACTTGTAGAAAAGATTCTCTGGGAATAAATATTGTGAATGTTATTCCAATCCACATAGTCTTGTAGTCACAACCAGGTGTTGATTAAATTTGCATTATTGGAGGTGCTATTAACCTGCCCAGAGAGAGGTGTTAAAACAGTATTGTATGTGGCAGACAATAGATGTCTCACCCCCTAACCTATATCAAAATATCCCATATGTAGCTGTCCAAGAAACTCAGAAGGGTTTCTATTATCTGCCACATACAATGCTGTTTTAACAACTCTCTCTGGGCAGGTTAATAACACCTCCTAGCTCCAATTATACAAATGCAATCAACACCTGGTTGTCACTAATAGATTATGTTGATTGGAGCGACATTCACCATATTTATTCCCAGATAACTTTTTGTGCAAGTCATTCTGAATTGAGAAAGCTGGTTGGATGACCAATGAAACGTCTTCAAGAAAAATACAGGAAGTCCAGTTGCCTTCACTTATTTTTTACAGATATTACAAGGGAGTGGAAGCATAATTTTTACTGCTATTATTGTTTCAGACAGATTAAGACTGGTATTTTGGTTTATGATATTACAGTCAATGATGTCATAGCTGTAGAAGGGCACCAACTTGGCTGGCTCACCAATGTTTTGGGGAACAGTCAATTGGACAAGTTAGAAGACTTTATAGAGTACACAGAGCCTAGGGCACATCCCATAATTTCACTTTATTTCCTAAAAGGCCCATGTTCACTGCTTTGGAAATAGTATGTAGCATGCAAGTCAGAAGAATGGCAAATTAATATGAATTATTTCCATTGTTATTTTGACAAGGTACTATGGGGGGAATTTATTAAAACTGGAGCAGACAGAATCTGGAGCAGTTGCAACCAATCACCTTTTGTCTTTCATGTTCAAAGCTTAACTGCACAAACTGAAGAGAGAAGCTGATTGGTTACTATTGGCAAGTGCTCCAGATTCTGTCTTTTCCAGATTTGATAAAGTCCCCCTTATGTATTTATTAATGGTGTCAAACAGTTATGTCTTATACAAAGACTTGTTATAATAACCTGACAAACGTTTTACTGCCCTACACTGCCAGCAGAGGGAAAGAAACCACATCAAGAATATTCCCATCTCACCTAGAGCCTACCATTTCATAAACGCTCCTTACAATGCACCAAGATATAAATCATTTATATTTTCTTGTAGTAACAATTCCTGTAATTTATGACAAATCATTAAATATTTCAGCTGAATTTAGAAAAATGAGAAAGCTTTGCGGATAATTGCCGACTGGTTCTGAAAAAGCTTAAATGGTTTCTTATAGCTTGACTATTTCCCTTCTAATTAAGAACAACATTTTTTATTCATTGGGAAATAATTGACCCAATTAAGAAGAGGAAGAAAGGAGGAAAAAATCTGAGTGACTGACATAAAATTATAGAAGTCCTGAAAAAGCTTTTGAACAGAGAGGTGCTCAGGAGACTGACCCTGGCTGGACAGCTCATGTAATTAATGTTTTGCGTGAGGGAAATTAAAGTGTATATAACCCCAAAAGTTACTATTTGGCATCATGACATTACACCGTTTTATTAAGGACTTTTTTTAGGGAATCTGTTGCAAAGTTTCTTGCCTGGGGATACTGCCGGTAACAGCACTTCCTTTTTCAGGCTGGCAACACTGACAACACTAAGCCGCTACCTTGCAATTGGCAGCAATGTTGTCAGCCTGACACTTACATACACTTTAGTTTGAAAAATTTGTAACAGCACCCTTTATATTAGGGCTGATAGCAGACAAAGCTAGTTGAGAACAGAGCAGTTTTAAAAAGTTCAGGAAGATTGCAAGAGGAATTCAACTGTGGCTATTTAAGGGGTCCTTTAAATCTGCAGAGAAGCTGCTTCGTTATTTTAAAAATGTGCTCAATTATTCATGTTTTACAATATGCACATAAGTAAGCTTGTGAGCTTAGAACATAGGGGCAGGTGTATGACTGTTCTGCCCAGTCATAAAGCGAAAGCCATTGGAACGTCATTCCGGCCACTAGAGGAAGCCAAGCAGCATATACATTCCTATGCTCCTCAGCTCTATCTAGTGGCCGGAGTGCCATGCAAACATCATTCACGCAGCTATATGCTGGGCCTAGCATTTATACATCAGCCACCAAGTGTGTAAACCATATATATAGTATGGGAGTTTAAACAATATTGGCCCTCATTTTTGAAACTGCAGACTGCTGTGAGACTCAGAATTATATTTGCAAACACAATAACATGAATGACACTTAATTTGTGTCAGCAAAAGAGCAATATGCTGCTCTTTGGTAGGTAAGGCTGCCACACCTGGCTGCCAGCTCCTGTCCTGTTTAACCTCCCCTGTCCAGCAGGTTGACCCACACAGTTTAGTATACAGGAATGTATGTTATACAGGAAAACAGTAATCAGTAAAAAAACCAGTATATATATAATGTTCACTACATATAGTAAAAGTGTAACTAAACCCTAAAAATGTATAAAATAGTAGCTTGCCCTCCTCTATTTTCACCTAGTGATCTTGTCAGTTTTCAAACTTCTCATCCAAGGGTGACAATGTTCTCTGCGTGGGACCCTCAGCAGGAACAGTGCTCTAACCCTAGGATGCATTAAAGTCCCCAAGGAGGATAAGACATCATGGGGAGTCAACATCATTAAAGATAGACGTAAATCCAATCCTACTTTGTGGGAGCGCAAACTGGAAGCAGCTGAAGAGAACCCACCAGACATGTATGGCACTGGACCTCTAAAAACGAAAGTAGTAAGCACTAAGGTTTTAGGAAAAAACATACCACACACTAGCTAGGGACAGTCTACAGCAGGATAGTGAAAGATTAAGTTAGGGATTAGATATACTTTAATTTAGAATTTCCAGAATATTTTTCTTTAGCTAGTAATATTTTGTTCAAAATGGACATAAACCATGTTGCAAAGGTATGATTTTATACAAAGTCTCTAATATTTACTAACAAATGAACAGAAATGTTCATACTAGTATATAAGTGGCTTCAGGCTCCCTCCAGACACCATGGCTTCTTATGCAGGTACTGAAGAAGTTCAGACAGAACCAGCCAATCAGTGAATCTACCTGAGCTCAGATTCTTTTGTAGGCACCCAGTGTCCTGTTGTTTTGGCAGTCTTCATGTACTAGTTGATAGGTGAAGTATGGCACAAATTAGCAGACTGTTGGTTGGAATCCACTTCATAGAAATACTTATTTTGGGTGAGTGATACATGAGAACTTGAGTCCTTATAGGAACTGACACCTTTTATCTTTTATCTATGGGGACTGTCACATACGCACGCTACTCTAAGCGGTCACGTGACTTATTTAGATGGTAAGAGGGTTTAATACTAGCATTGTACCCGCCCCCTGCTGCAGTTCTCCATCAGGTCCAGCAGCAAAATCCGCACAATCGTTTTCTATTTACTTCTTTAAACTTTTTAAACAATTTTTTGTCGGTTGTTCACTCGGCTGCCCTCGGCAGCTTAGTGAATAGACCCGTATCTGTTTTAACTAGACCGGGAAATAATGATTAACGATCCCACTTGAGTCCTTATAGGAACTGGCACTTTTATCTTTTACTTATGAGGACATTTATGAGTTGCATGAGCCACCTATATAGGGTGAGCGATACGTGAGAACGTGAGTCCTTAACCTTCCAATTAAAAAAAAAAAGTAAAACCTTAGGAAATATGTAGGTAAAAATGAATATGAAATGGAAATCAATTTATTGAATGCAGAAGTTTGTTATTTACCAACCGTTTCTTGTTTTATATCTGCAGGATTCTGAGCAATAACAAGATATCTCTGGTAAAGAATAGATCTTTTTTTGGACTCAGCTCTCTGGAGAAACTGTAAGTAGGAATCTTATTCTGAGCATTTCTTTTTGAAAAGTGGCTGGAAAATGAATTGCGTATAGAGGTTACTGGGATCACAACCTCCAATACATTTCACTTGCAACTGTTCCAGATTGTGCGATTTATGTAAACCTTTTACATGAACCAGAAAGTTCAGCGGGAAAATAAAAATAACTACAAATAAACAAAGTAAAGAGATAAAAAGACAGAAAGTATCCGCAATGGCAATGCTTAACAAAATGTGAACATCATGTAAATGCATTGGGATTTTCTTTATAAAGTCTTTTATATATAAATAGAAACTTTGGAAACCCGAGGCTTTTACTGTAGCTGAGAAGAGAAGCGTCTCCTCAATAGACCCCTATGCGATAATCACATGATATAATAATTGGGGCATGGTTACACGATAAGGAATTCTACATATGGCTGCTTAGAACAGGGGTGGGCAACCTTTGCAAGCCAGCTGTGGCGAAACTAAAAAACTCTTTGTGCCTCTGCCCCTAGGAGTTATGCCTGTCGCTGTCAGAGTGTTGTAATGCCTTACGGGACTTGTAGTTCTAAAACAGCTTGAGTGCAGATCTTGCCTACCCCTGGCTTGGAGGGCATAAACCTCTGGTGGGCTCAGCTTATCTTGGCATACTGGAGGTGAAACAATATCTCTGCATGCCTGGGACAAAGAACATATGGTATATTACATGTTACATGTTAAGCTTAGCATTTTTTTAAGCATACAAATATTTTGTTTCGCTTATGGTATCTCTGAATGCTGCAGTTAGCCTCTAAATGTGTTGTCACATGTGTTAGATCTTGGAGTTACCAGTGCCTTCCACCTTTCCCTTGGTGATTAAAAAAAGACTCCAACTCTAGCTTCATGTTTCCTGGAGTTGGGTTATTATTATGCCCATGTAGTTTTACCAAAGTGAACTCAAAGTTAGTTTGGATGGAAGTTGCAGAGTACAACCCTAATGCTGAAAGTAACATTTGTAGTTCCGAATGTAATTCCTTTTCTCTTTCACCATGCCTATATTTATGTTTTTCTCTACATTTACATGAAGAGCAAGCTTTAAGTAAAAGTGACAATTGCAGGGGCTGAAATAAGCTATTCCACTGCCAGGATGCATACAATGGTCACCTTTTAATTATATGTTTGAACCTTTTTTCCAAATATAATGTTGCTGTTACTACTTAAAAAGTTAGCTGTTAGCTAGAATCAGGCTTTGATATGTTTGTCTCTTACCTGGGGGTTGATTTATAAAAGTGTCACCCAGCTTACAGCTGTTTGCACACTCCTGGTGCCCCTAGATGGCGCTGATGAGTATAGGGTGTAGGAATTTCCTTAACTTGTCATGGCATGTAGAGGTGCTAGTGCCACACAAATGGCATCCACCTGGCTATACGCTGCTGGGTGACACTTTTATAAATCAACCCTGTAAAGTCCATGTGACGCTACAGGTCCATTCTAAATTGTCCTATCCACAGGGTGACAACACTGCAGTTGTTAAACTGCAGAAAAACCAGTGACCCTGTTCAGGGCTGGATTTATTCTCTCTGCTGCCCCAATGCCAGGTTCCTCAATGCGCCCCCTGTAGGCAGGCTGCATACAAGTGATCTCGGCGACATCGCTGAGATCACTTGTACAAAACAAGCGGCGTTTTCCCCACTGTACATTTAACCATGCTTGCCCAAAGCAGGGCTAAATGTAGAAAACAACTACCCGCCCCGCACCCCGGAACTGCATGTCCCGGGCATCGGGAGATCAGAATCCCACACCCCTGCTGCCCCTCTACTCCCTGCTGTCACAAGGCCGGGCCTCGGTTGGCCTTGTGGGAAATCCGGCCCTGACCCTGTTGAAGAAAGCTGAAAATCAGTGAATCATGTCTATAGATATCATTATTGGCTTTTACTATAGCACTGCTTTAAATGGAAAATATTATATTGCCCTTTCTGTACACTTAGAGCAAGTGAGCATCTAAAATCTGTGTCGTTGTCTGTAATTGTTTCATTGCTGAGTCCGCTAAAGCTGGAGCCTGTTAGTTGGTCACTGTGTGTGCATTAGTTTCCCCTCTTCTCTGTTGAAGTCTTCAGTAAAGAGTTATCTTCATATGACAGTTCACGTGTCTCTTCTTACCCTGGTTAGGCAGAATCCATATCGCTAAAAATCTTGGCAGTCTATAAAAGACTGTTTACATACTGTCTGGTGTAGTATAGTCCAGGACGCCACAAAATGGTATGACTTGTCTGAAGACGACACTACACATTAGGAATGTTCAGATACCAAGTACAGTACTAAAGTACAGATACTTTTCCAGCTCCAAGACTAGACAAGAGAAAAATGTAAAAGTTAGGAGGCAGCTGTCATTTGTAAGGAGCACGCGGAGCTCCTGGGATTTGTACATCTCTGTTTTAATGTATGATTTTGTTTTTAATAACATATATATATAAGGGATGCACCGATATCTTTTTGCAAGTACAAGTACTGATACTTGTCCAAGAACTCACAGATATAAGTACTGATACATTTTTGTTTAGTGTCATGTGACAGTTTTTCTAAAACAATACAGACTATTGGCCATAAAGAGGTGGCATGCACACAACAAACACAGTGTGCAATGAAATCAGGCTAAACAATTTCACTACAGAAAAGAAGCCTGTACAACTGTGTAAGACTGAAGGTAAAGCTGCAGTTCCGCTTTAAAGAGTCATGGGCTCAAAAAAGAGACATCATGTTACTCCTGTTCTCATCTGCAATTTAGTTGTGGATGTTGCAACATTAGGAAATGTGCAGAGAAGAGCAGTTAAATTAATAAAGGGCAGCTATAATAAATGATACTGAAATTAAATTATTAATCCTTGTGAAGGGACGATTAAGGAGTAAGATGATCACCTTGTATAAATATATAATTGGCCCATTTGGAAAATGGTGTGTTTACTCTACGGTCTCCACAACAGCATGAGGGTGCTTTTTGTTACTGGGAGAGTAAAGGTATAACCTCCAAGTAGAGTACAGCTGTAAATACTATCAAAATGTGGAACAGTCTTTTACAGGAATTGGCCATAGCAGTTTCAGTAGACTGTTTTAAATAGAGCGCGTTTATAAAGTCAAAATTATGAACAGCTAATAGTATAAAAAAATGGACATTGTAGAGTATTAGTCCACAGAGTTATCCCATTGCCCTTGAGGGTCAGCAAAATGTTTCCTCTGCTTAAAAAGCAAATAGCAATTGAGAAACATGGAGCAGCTCTACCCTTTTGTTTCCAAAACTGCCGCTGGAACATCGTTGCCCGGTAAAATTTCTGCCAGAACCTTCACTCAACAATAGGTAAAATCCGGCACTGGTAAGGGCATTCCAGCACACATACTGGGCCTTAGTTATTATTATTATAATGCAGGAATTATATACCGCCAACAGTTTGCACAGCGCTTTACAATATAAGGAAGACATTACAATCACAATTCAAGACAAGATAGCAAGGAGGGCCCTGCCTGTGATAGCTAAAAAGCAAATAGTATCTGGTTTTGCATGGTTCATACTGCACCAACTATGGGTTTAGGGTTCTGGAGATACAAGGGTGTCTTTTGTCGGCACCCAACAGATGTATATCTTTTTTCAAACTTACTATTTAACAGCCATCTTACTTTTAGATTGGATTTTCTTGTCTGTTTTCACCACCACCCCCTTCTCCTATTCAGCTGTTTGGTGTTTTTGGGTCCATCTTCCAATTATAGCGAGCGTTATGTGCCTTCAATTATACAATCTAATTACACAGCACAATTACAGAGAAATGGTATAGTTTCAATTACACAATGCCTAATAAAAAGGCATTTCATTAAATGGACTGGCAGCACTTAGCGTTGCCGAGCTGAAGGGCAGTTGTGTAGATTCAGCTATAAATAGTTAAAGAAAGTGTCTGTTTCCTGCTTAGTCAGATGTGTTGAATTTACTGTAAGACACTTCAGGAATGAGTGTTTAAAGGGCCGCCTGTTTATAATCATGAGCAAGCACTTACATTATTTTATTGCATTTCATGTAAACTGTTCATTGTTTGGTCTGAGCTACCTTGTATTGTATGTAATAACAAATAAACTGATTGAAAACCTGAAAAAACTGTTGAGCAGAGTCCAGAGTCACCAATCAGGTTCAAGGCTAGGTATATAATATATATATATATATATA